ACCACTCGCTCTCCTCATTGGCTAACACCTCCCGGGCCGACGTTCTGTTGGGAAGTTCGCTGCTGGAGACTCAAGGTCCCAGGCAACTACACTTCCGTTTCCGGGTCGCATCCGGAGTCATGGCGACTGCGAGCGGCCCGAGTTATCTGCTGTCACTAGGCAGATGGCACCGCGGCTTCAGAGTGGCTCCCCAGTCCCGGGTGAGTGCCCACTGCCCCTGCTTCAGGCTCTGGATCTGGGCAACAGCTCCGCCCCGAGCGGGAGCCCCCCGGCGGCCTTCCCCGCTGCCCCGCGAGCTGCTTTTCTTTCCCCCCCGCCTGCAGGCTCTCGCCGCCCTCGTGCCCGGTGTATCCCAGGTGGATAACAAGTCCGGTTTTCTGGAGAAGAGGCCCCATCGGCGGCACCCGGGTATCCTGAAGCTGCCGTGTGTGCGGCTGCCCCGAGCGCTGGCTGACGCCGCGCAGGTAGTGCTGCTCGGTGAGTGACGGCGGGAGAGGGAAGCTCGAGGAGAAACGGAGACCGCGCCTTCTTCATTCATCTGATGCCGCTTTTCCTCTCTGGACCACAGAGCATTCAGTGCCCAATGTGGAGAAGCAGGTGCAAGCATTGACCAATTACCTCTGGAGCCGGCATTTACCTGTAGAGCCAGAGGAATTGCAAAGACGGGCAGCACATCTTGAGAAAAAATTCCTGGAAAACTCTGGTAGGGTTTAAGAATAATTAAAGAGTTGTTCAAATAGTGAGAATGAAGACCAAGAAATAATTTTAGTCTCTCAAATAGATATTGCAGTTTCTTGTTTGACTTTCTGGACAGAACAGTTATTTACAATGATGCCTTACTTAAGAGAAGGTAGATTATTTCAGAGATTGCCCTTGGGACTTTGGAGAAGGTCAAAGAGTGCTTTGTTTTTTTCCTCCAAATCCACTGGATTAGGACTGTCTACGTTTTTATTCTGAAATAAAGCCCTTGTATGACTCCTTATCTAGTGCTGAAATAAATCTTCAGGGATAGAAGAATATATATATAATGCATTGTCATTTTCATGATTGTGAGCTCCTTCATATTATAGACCTGTCTTTTATACATCTTATATTCCCTGTACTTCCCACAGTACTTGGCTCATAATAGGCACTCAGTAAATAAAATTGTACTGAACTGAACTGAAGATTCCCAAGTCCCATTCCTCCCTGTAGGAACAGTGGAGACGTTACAATTTTAAGTTTTGGGGATATGAGGAAATCCACAAAATATTGTCCTTATCCTATAACTTTTTTTATATATACTCTCTGAAATCAATAAGACGTATTGATTTCAGAGAGAGAAGGAAGGAGAGGAAAATATCAGTCAATTCCCTCCCATACACACCCAACTGGGGATTGTACCCACAACCTTTTTGGTGTATAGGACAATACGCCAAACACCCATCCAGGGCTCCTTTACACATCTTTACCACATTCCCCTTCATTGTAGAGAACAAAACCTGTGGGATGGGAAGGATCAAATTAAATAAACTGCTATTAGAGACAAATACTATCTGATACATTGGTGCAATAGTTATTCTTACCTGAAATTTTTCTCTAGGTTTGGCTTCTCTTAAGCTTTAAGGCTTTTCCCAGGTGAGAATTGGGGAGGGTTGAGCAGACAGTATATTCAGATACTAGATTTGAGCCCTATTCTTCCTTGTTCTCACCCCAGACTCATTTCAGACAGAAGAGAAACTTCGTGAAGCAGTGCTGCATGCCCTACGTAAAACTACCTACCATTGGCAAGAACTGAGGTAAGGGGTGGGGGGCTGCAGAAGGAAGAGAAGTTTGGTTTTTGAAGGAGAGTCGGGCAAGCACAATTACATACTTTTATGTTTCAAAAAGCTCCCCAGGACTCTTCTGTATTACAAAGTGAAGTTGCTGACCTGGAAGAGCCCGGTCCAAAATTTTCAATTCCTAAAATCCTAGAGGGTACCTATGGGATAGATGTTATTTCCCCGTGGGAATGACTCTGATTTTTCCTGGCAGCTACAACGAGGGACTGAGCTTGGTGTATATGGCTGCAAGACTGGATGGTGGCTTTGCAGCAGTCTCCAGGGCATTCCATGAGGTGAAGATCCCACAACTTCCAACCTGAACCCTTTTACCATCGGGTAAAAGGGTTCCCTTATTCATAAAGTAGTCTTCTGGGATAGGATTCTTGGGACATTTCATGTGCATTTTTTAAGAGGCTCTCCTTATCCTCTGAAAGGATATTGGGACCCCAAAAGGTTTAGATTCACTGTTTTAGGGGCTTCCTGTTATGTAAAGTATTTATATTAAATCTCAAAATACAGTCACCCTCTCATACCTCTGTCTTGGTCTCCTAATTCATTTTTGCCAAGGCCCTAAATATGTGTCTACTTACTGTACTTTGGGGTGTTGTATATTTCTTTAGATCCAGACTCAACTTCCAGAGTTCCAACCAAAAACCCTGATGGACTTTGGGTCAGGTACTGGTTCTGTTACCTGGTGAGTATCTTTCTCTGTCTCTATTCTAGCTTTAGAGAGCCAGGCTTACACAAAACTAATATCAAAAGACTGGGGAAATAGGAAAGTTGGGAATTCGAATGTTCTTCCCTCAAATGGATTAGAGCCAGAACTTAAATGTTAAGTGATAAAAGACCCACATTTACAAAGATAAAAGGAAGGAATTTAGTGTAGGGCATAAGTTTTACATATCAAAATTATTTTGCCTACAGTAGTTTTCCTGATTCTGCGTTTGTTTGTTTTTTTAAGAAGCTGTAAATAATAAAATAACATTATTAGTTTTTCCAACATTTTAACATAGCATTCTGTTTCCCCAGGGATGGGGTTCAGGATAGAGGGTTCTCTTGTAGGAATGAATCTTTGTCATGAGAACTGGTGATTTATATTTTGTCATCTTAGGGCTGCTCATAGTATTTGGGGTCAGAGCCTACGTGAATATATGTGTGTGGACAGTTCATCTGCCATGTTGGATTTGGCAGAAAAGTTACTGAAAGGTGAGGACAAGCTAAAAGGAAGGGCTTTTCCAAAGTTAAAGGAGTTAAGAAAGCAAAGGCATACTGGAAAGAGTGTTTTATTTGGGAGTAAGGGGGAGAGCTAAAAGTTAAAAATTAGTCTGGTATCCTTCCAATTTTATGGTCAAGTGGAGGGGCAGGGGGGCAGGGAGGAGGCTTTGCTGGACTGTGAATGGGTTGGGAAAGAGTAACACGACAGGTTTCTCAGTATTCTCCTTGTCCTTTTTAATATTTGCTTACCCTATCCATCTCACTCTCACCTAGCATTTTCTTTATTCTCAGGGCCATGTTTCTTACCAGGATATCACTTCAATTTATACTTATACACTGGCGATGTTCAACCTGTTTCATCTCATGGCACACATAAGCTAGTTATTAGAATTCAGCAGCACACCAAAAAATATATTTTTTGCCCATCTGACAAAAATTAGGTATTGTTTTGATTCATTCACACCAGATGGCTATTGTTTTGGCTGTCATTTTTTTTTATTTGACAGTCTAAGGGAAAAGAGGTCAGTGCTCCTGACTAAATAGTCAGGTATCACATGTTTTAAACGTGCTTGTGGCACACCAGTTGAAAATCAATGCTGTACTAATAGTTGCCACACCTCTGTCTTTACAGGTGGTTCAGAACATGGGAAGCTGTATATTCCAGGTGTCTTTTTCAGACAGTTTCTACCTGTATCACCTAAGGCAAGTGGAAATATGTAGAGTATGCTAAATATGGGATTTGGCAGATGGAAAACTATGGCCTCAGCATTGCAACCTAGCATTGAATGTTAGAAGATAAGACAGCAGAAGAAATTAGAGAGGGAGAACTTTATTGTGCTCTAGGAAGGAAGAGATAGCAGGTCTGTCATGTTCTTTGTTTTGGTCCTCAGGTACAGTTCAATGTGGTGGTATCAGCCTTTTCCCTTAGTGAACTGCCCAGCAGGGCTGACCGCACTGAGGTAGTCCAAACCTTGTGGCGCAAGACAAGTGATTTTCTGGTGAGTAAAAATTCACTTTTCCCTTCAAGTTTTAAAGCAGCTTCATGGGTTTCATTCCTTTCCTTCTCTACATTGGAGCTTGTCTTCGTTCTCGACCATTTTTTCCCCTGCATAGATTCCTTAGTCCCACTGGTAGGGTCGCCATCCCTATCTTATATGTAATAACATTTCCTTTAGGACTGCTAGTCCATCTGTGAATGTTCTTACAGAGCCACTGACATTTGTGCTTTCATGTAATTCTGGGCTTCTGCTCATTTTCCCCTTTGTGAACAGATATTGGTGGAGAATGGAACAAAAGCTGGGCACTGCCTTCTCATGGAAGCCAGGGACCTGGTCCTTAAGGTGAGGTTCTTTCTCCTTCTCTTCCCCAACCCCTACCCATCTGTCACCAATTACCAGTACTCCCTTAAAAATGGAAAAGACTGTCGTACAAAGGTAAGTGACTCTCAGGCGAGTAGGCATGTAAAGTCATTATGCTGTAGGGTGGTGGCTGGCAAAGTAGGGCCTGTGGATCAAATCCTGCCTGCCAGGATTTGTATGAGCCAGGCTTATTTGAGTGTCTGTTGTGTATGGCTGCTTTCACACTACAAATGGCAGAGATGAATAGTTGGGACACAAACACATTTTGGCTACCCTCTGGGCCTTTAAAAAAATTTGCTGACCCCGACCTAGGACATGGCTGAGCCAAAAACCTTATCTCTAGGGCTGTATGAGCCAGTGTAAAATTATGAATTTAATTGTTCTGGAATGGGATTTTTTTTTTGAAAGTGGAGGTTGCTGACAAGGAGAGCACCATTCTATGTGCCAAGTTCCTGCCTTTCTCCTGCTGCAAAGAGAAAGTTCTTTGTTTGGAGAATTAGAGAAGTAGCCAGCTTAACTCAAAGAACAGTTAGTAACTACCAGAATCGGATGTTAAAGGAGTCCTCGATTGAGTGCAGAGATTGACTTATGAGAATAGACCCTGCAGGCCCCGCTTAATTTTGGTATTTCCTTTGATTTCAGGGAAAGGAGAAGTCACCTCTGGACCCTCGGCCTGGTTTTGTCTTTGCCCCAGTGAGTATTGCTTCTACCTTTCCCAGCATGCAAAGAGCTGAGCTCAGCTGTGTCCAGTACATGTGAGAGGGCAAAGCTAAGCCACCCTCCACTGCTTTGTGTCCCAATCCGATTTCTTCTTAGTGGATCCCCTGCTCTCCATACCTCTGATCCTGTGCCTCCTGACCCCTGGACCTTCCTGACCCCTGGCCCTTCCTGACCCCTGGCCCTTCCTGACCCTAGCACCCTTCGTTTCCCAGTATTATGATCTGTGGTTCTTTCATCTTACCTCATGTTTTCATGTGTGTTTACAGTGTCCCCATGAACTTCCTTGTCCCCAGTTGACAGCATCTAAGCCTCTGGCCTGTAGCTTTTCCCAGGCTTACCATCCCATCCCCTTCAGCTGGGTATGTATGTACTCTGGGAATATTGCAGCAGGGAAGAGGTAGCTTGGGAAAGCAGGATGAAAAAGAATCAGGTGGAAGGAGTTGGAAAATTCCGAGAGCGTTTGTAGAGCCCAAATCTGCATGACCTAGAATATGAAAAGGACTATAGGAATGGGGGTCAACATTTTCCCCATATCTTTTTCCCCAAAACAGTCTCTCTCCCCTTACCTTAGAGCAAGAAGCCAAAGGAGGAAAAGTTCTCGATGGTAATCCTTGCCCGGGGGTCTCCAGAGGAAGCTAATCGCTGGCCGCGGATCACTCAGCCTGTCCTTAAACGGCCACGCCATGTGCACTGTCACCTGTGCTGTCCAGATGGGCAGATGCAGCACGCTGTGCTCACAGCCCGCCGCCATGGCAGGTACAGAGGCTGTGACCACGGTGGGTGGGAGGTGGCAGGAACCTGCCCCCAACACTGACCTCTCTTTTTCATAGGGATTTGTATCGCTGTGCCCGTGTCAGCTCCTGGGGAGATCTTTTACCTGTGACCACGCCATCTGAGCTGCTTCCATCCCCTGTTGAAGGTCCCCCTGAGAGTTGACAAGGAGCTGTAACAAGAGTTTTCTTGTATCGAGCCTGCCAAGGCTAATGCTACCTGGTATCCAGGATGGGAGTGCTGTTACTCCTGCACAAACTGCATTTGTTTGAAGTTTTAATAATTAAAAGATTTCAAAGAACATGTGGGTCTTGTAATTCTTAAAAGGTATAAATGTTAGTCATCACGGCCTATCCTGTAACAAAGTGAGTCCTCAGAGATTCAATGCCTGTCTTCCCGCAGAAACCTCAAGCTCAGCCCCAGCTGTAAGAATACAGCTGCTTCTCCCAGAGACCAGGACTTCCCAGGGAAGTAATGGGGGAGTGGGAAAGCCACCCCCAGCACTCTGAGAACTGGCTCAACAGGTCTCAGGGTAGTTAGATGGGCCACCTGGACAGGTGACCAGCAGCTGCCTGGCCTCTGTTTTTTCTACCTCCTTTCTTTCCTTTTATCTCTCGGGGTTCATCAGCTCCCCAGAGTTTGCCTCATGAGTGTCCTTCAAGAATTGATCCTGTCAGGATCAAATCATCCATCTCAACCCCAGCATATCCACACAAGGTCCTACATTTACTTAGTTCATTTCTGTGTTCCCCTAGGTCTGGCTGTTTCAGAGCTAGAGCAACTTTTTGTGTATTAAAACTCTCAGTCCCTCTCCTGCAATATACATCAGGAAGTAGGCACAGTCAGAAGTGGTAACAGTTTCAATTTTGTAATACTAGAAATCTCAACTCCCACTAGACATTTCCATACCTGGAGCTATTTTTCTAGGGTTAAAGGAAAGGGGAGTCCCCTCATCTGCTAGTTCCCAGAGTGACAGCAGCACCACTCCTTAGTCCCACCTCCTTCTTAACCCCAGGTGGCCCCAAATCCTCTCTGAAAGGGTAAGGTTCAGGTATCAGCATAGCAGCCTATAAGACTTGCTTTGGGGTGGGGAGGGTATGGAAGGCTTAGATCAAATGTCCTGAGTGAGCCAGGACCAGATTGTCCCCAACACAAAATAGATGGGAAGTAGCTACCATAGACTGCCATTTTGGATTAGACCAGCCCCAGGCATGAACTAAATCCACAATCCTTGGATTAGTCATGGAACTGAAGAGAGGACACAGCACAGGGCTGTGCCTGGCAGGGAGTCTGGAGTTTCTGGTTTGGTGTGAGCCAGGGGAGGGGCCTCCACGTAGGGGGAGGGCGGGAAACTAGGGCTGGGCCCCAGTCAACTATGCAAGGCTGTGCAAACAGGCAGCACGAAGAGGATCCAGCAGCTTCCTGAAACTCAGGAGTGGACACTACAGCGTTGACCACCTAAGGCACCACTCCTGTTCTAAAGCTTGTAACTCCATTTGTCTTTCTGAGGTCTCTGCTTATCCTGTACCCCAAGGATGGAACCAGTGCTAGGAGTAAAAATTGGCTGCCTATTTGCCCTGCTGGTTCTCACGCTGGTCTGTGGCCTTATTCCCATCTGCTTCAAGTGGTTCCAGATGGAGGCAGCCAGAGGTATAGCCCTTCTGTATCTTTGCCCCCATAACCTGACTTTAACCCTGTCACCCTCCCCTTGCTCTGACTCTCTTGCCATCCCCAAGCTTGGATGTTGAGTGCTCCTTGTTGCTCCTTAGTCACCTTTGTCCATCTCCTCATCGCCAGCTGGTTGTAACCCCTGCTTTTCATTAGGTCGTCACCGCCAGGTCCTCAGCCTCCTGGGCTGCATTTCTGCTGGTATCTTCCTGGGAGCAGGGTTCATGCACATGACTGCTGAAGCCCTGGAGGGAATTGAGTCGGAGATCCAGAAGGTCATGATGCAGGTGAGCAGCTGAGGTGTAGGGAGCAGAACCAAGGGGAGCCAGGGGGAAAGTGATAGAACCAAGGACATGGGTGGAACGATAGAGACAATGTCAGCTCTTGTGTTGTGTGGAATCATGACAACAGGTCAGCTTAGACTGTAAAGAAAGCAGTGGAGCTGAAGGGACAGGGCAGGAAGCTGAGCTGCTCTATCCCCCATCTAATTTCTGCTTTTTTCTCCCTAGAACAGGACAGAGAGTGGGGGGAATTCTTCTGGAGATGCTAATTCAGTTTATGTAAGTATCTCCCACACCCAACCTGGAGGGTGAGGAGAACCAGAGACTCCTCATACCCAGATCCTTTTGAGGAGTACCAGGAATCCCTCTGCTCCTCAGCTCAGACACTGTAGGGAAAGGAGGAGCCAACCTGATCCTTTGGGGTTTATGGAACCCAGACAAAGCTCTGGCTTTTCTCTTCCTTCTTTCCCTAGACCCTTAGACATGCTCCCCATCGTTTTCCCACATTTCAACTCTGCTGACGCTGCAACCTTGGCCCCTCTGGTATTCTTATCACATGTCCATATCTCCCCCAGGCTTCATTCGCCTTCCCTGTTTAATGATTTAGTCCCACATTACCCATTCTCTCCAGTGTCCCATCCCACCTCCATACCTCCGTCCACTGCGCTTCCTTTCCCGTCCCACAGCCCCTCTCTCTGTTCCCAGACGGACTATCCCTATGGAGAGCTCATCATCTCCCTGGGCTTCTTCTCCGTCTTCTTTTTGGAGTCGCTGGCATTGCAGTGCTGTCCTGGAGCCCATGGAGGAGCAAAAGTGCAGGAGCAGGAACTAGGTGGGGCTCATGTCCTTGGACTCCACAGCCATGGACCTCTACCCTCACCCTCACAGAGTCCCTTTCGAGCCCTCATCCTTTTGCTCTCTCTCTCCTTCCACTCGGTGTTTGAAGGTCTGGCTGTGGGGCTGCAGACAACAGTCGTAGCCACCGTGCAGCTCTGTCTTGCTGTCCTGGCTCACAAGGGGCTCATAGTGTTTGGTGTAGGACTGCGGCTGGTGCAGGTCGGCACTGCGTCCCGATGGGCCGTGTTCTGCATATTGTCCTTTGCTCTCATGTCCCCCCTGGGTGTAGCCCTGGGGATGGCTGTTGCTGGAGGGGACTCCGAAGGGGGGCGAGGCCTAGCCCAGGCTGTGTTAGAGGGTGTGGCAGCTGGCACCTTCCTGTATGTCACCTTCCTAGAAATCCTGCCCAGGGAGCTAGCAGGTCCTGAGGCCCCTCTGGTCAAGTGGGGCTGTGTAGCCGCTGGTTTTGCCTTCATGGCCTTAATTGCCTTGTGGGCCTGAGAGATTCCTGACTTTTCTGATGGATCCAGGAGTCACTTCCCAAAAGGCTTTGGTCCTCAGACATTTCTCCACTAAGACTAAGTGGCATTCACTAGGCATCATCCCCATGAACGGGATCCCAGCCTCTCCTACGTGAGATCCCATTGCTCATCCAGGACTGAGAAAAGGACGTTTAATTTAGGTTGAGTGCCTATACTTTGGAGAATTGATAAAAAGACCATCACTGCAGATTTGACTCTTGTTCCATTTTTGCTACTGTGTGTAATAAATGTCCAGTTTATCCTCCCCCTTCAAGCATGCTATTCTTTCTTTCTTCGTGTTACCTAACTGCTGCCTAGTGGAGCAGGAAGTGGGGAGAGTGAGTGTTGGATGCAGTCTCTTCTTCTGGAATCAGAGCCCCTAGCCATGTGTCACTTGCAGCCATGTCCCCCAGACATGGGAGCACTGCTGACATTCCAACAGCCCGCTCCCACCTTACCCACCGGTGTTGAGATCCTGAGCCAGAGTTCCCAGCATTTAGAGGAGAAGAGGTCTAAAAACAGAAACGGTGGGGATTTTAGATTTTTTTTCTACACTAACCACACCTACCCCACTCCCAGTACTTACTATCCTGCCCACATGTCCAGCAAACTCTTCAGATCAGGCTCAATGGAGCCTACTTCCACCTGGTTTCTATTTTTGACACTGAGTCTTGTGTGGCTTCAGGGACATGATTGCTCTTTGAGCCTCTGTCTCCTTCCAGCTGCCTTGTGCTACAGGATTAAGAAGCAGTGTGTTTGTAAAGAGAGAAAGGCGCCAGATAAATTCCAAGGGTGATTACTTGGCTCTGCCGAGACATGGTGACTTTCCTTCTGCCTGCCCTACCTGCCACTATGCCTCTGGTGCCTCCCCACTGGGCCATTTGCCTTTCAGGCGAGTAACCCCTACAATGTGCTGCTTTTCTTAAAAACTGCACAAATAAAAAAATAATAAAAGAACTGATTACCTGGAATTGAGGAGGAGCAGGATGGCCCTGACCCATGAGACAGAGGAATGTCTCAGACTTGGTGGAGAGACAGGGAAAGCAGAGGTGTGTCCTCTGAGCTCAGGCACCCTCACCAATTGCCCCTTCAAATACTTTCAGTGGAGAAGCTCAAGAGGCCTTAACATGGGCAAGGTCTCCTGAGTTTCATTCTTATCTCATTTCATTTCTGTCTTCTGTCCTTCCCATTCCCCTCCCCACAAATTAAGAATAGAAACCTCCTCACCAGCACAGCTCACGCATCCAGGGATCAGTGAGAAGCCAAGCTAAAGGCAAAACCAAATAAAAATGACGAAATAACTTCCCTGAAGCACCATCCCAATCTGCTTCCCTTCAGGGCTAAATGCACTCACACATAACACAGTCAGAACAGGGTCTAATATGTTGTCATGGTAATGAAGTTTCCACATTGAGCTTCTGCTATGTGCCAGGTACTCTACTGTTGCTTCCACATATATTATCTCACCTTCCCAACCCTGCCAGGTAGATATCCCCATAGTAAGTCCAAGGAAGCGCACTCTGAAGTTAAATAACTTGATCACCTAACTAGGCTTCAAACCCATGTTTCTGTGATGCTAAGAAAACCTCAAAATACAGATTCTCTTTTTACCTTCCCTTCCTCATCTTTACCTTACCTGTTCTTCCTGTCTTATGTGTAAGGGTCTTGGGGAAAAGCAGAGAGCACATTGGATAACTGAGGGGCAAGTTTAATAAAGAGAGTGTGTAGCAGGTGTGGCCAGGATTAGGACAGAGCAACAAGTGATGATGGACCACCAGGAGGCTGAGCAATAGCAATGCTGTTATCTAGGCTGAAGAGAAGGAGCAGTTACCAGAAACTCAAGAGCCATTAAGAGCTGTGGCCCTTGGTAGAAGAACACAGCAGCCTGCAGGGGCTCCATAGGAGGAGGCAGAAGGATACCTTCACACTCCTACACTTGATCTACTGTCTTGTCTTTTACTGGCCCTGCCTAAACCAAAGCCAAAGGATAAAAACATCTGTTGGGGTATTGCTGATAGATCAGCCTGCGGAAGCATGGGTCAGAAAGAAACCTGGAGGGCCAATAGAAAATGTCCAGCATCGGTTCTCTGCTGCTTTCAACTTAAGTGATCTTGCCAGGATATTCAGAAGAATGAATTAGAAGGGACACGATTATATGGACATTAGAGAGCTATTTCTGGTTCAGAGGATTGTAAGACTATAGAAAGGAGACTTGAAGAGAAGTACATTAGACTCCAGGGCTCTTCATGTGTTTCTGGGTCAGTGATGAAATCAGCAATTGAGGTAAATGAGCAGAGGTTGGGAAAATTCAAGCAGAGTGACTCGTGTTTTGCTTCATCCCAACCCAGGAGCACTTAGATTCCCCTTTAGCCACCTCTACTTTCAGCCAGCAGTGCTTTCTTTCCTCCCATTACCATTCCCGTTCCCAAGATCCTTACCAACCAGGACAGGAACCAAAACAGACTACAGAATGGCTCCATAAAGGGAACATCAGGATCAGGAAGAGAAACAATCTTGACTATTTTCAAAAGATCCCCAGCAAGAAGCCAGAGAGGGCTATAATGGTGCAGAAGAAGAATGTGATTTTTAAATGGGACTGAAACCAGGAAAGATGGAATAAGAACAGGCATGAGAACCACAGGAGAGGAGGGAGAGCTGAATTCACTAGAGCATGGTGACTGGAAGCCAGAATCAGGACTGATCTTTGATTCAGCCTTGAGAGACAGGTTGTAACTCAAGAAAATTAAGATTATGAAAGACCGTGTGTTTCCAAAATGACAGCAATGGATATGGATACAACGAGTGGCACCAACAGCAGCACAGGCAAAAAATGCATTGAAGTGAAAAAGTGGCACACAGTAGCCCTCTGGGGCTGCGATATTGTGGTTGATAACTGTGCCATCTGCAGGAGCCACATTATGGAGTGTCAGGCAAACCAGGCACCTGCCACTTCTGAAGAATGCAACGTTGTGTGGGGAGTAATCATGCTTTTCACTTCCACTGCATCTCTTGCTGGCTCAAAACACGGCAGGTGTGTCCGCTGGACAACAGAGAGTGGGAATTCCAAAAGTATGAGCACTAGAAAAAGAATATTCTCCATTAAGCTCAACTGTTTTGTTATTCATTTAATGACTTGCCTTCCTGTTACTTAATTGTAAGTTAGATAAAATTCTGCTTTGTCTTTTCAGTTTGCTATTCCTGCAATCCTATTGTGTTCTGTGTCAAAATCCAGTTGGATTCTTGGGGGGGGGGGGGAGTTTATGAGTTAAACAAAAATAGGAGGGAAGATATATAGGATGGGGAAATGGATAAGAATAGAAGCTAGTTGGAATGGTCACAAGAAAATTTATGTGGAACAGTTTTCAAGTCTTAACCCCTGTTCCCATTCTCATTCTCCACCTCACACATGGATTGTTTATATTTTTAAACAGGAAAAGAAATATCAGGAAAAATAGAGAACTCTGACTGGCCTGTAGAGCCAGGTTTCCATTTTTGCACCAATTAATAGCTCTCTGAAGTAAACCTTGGAGCCCCCACCACCTGTCCTCTGCTTACAGGTTAGAGATTGAGTTTGGATACTGCGGTTGTAAGATGATATTGTGTGAAGACAATGAGATGGGGAACTGCATCAAAGAGAAACCAGTTTAACAAGTGTACTAGAGCAAGGTGGGAGGTCCCTCAGAATAAGATACACCCACGACAAAACCCGAAGACCTGTAGGCAAACTCTTGTGAGATCATTTATGTCACTTTACATTTCCTATAAAGGACAATTTTCCAGGGTCTTGCCTCACTCAGGATAGGACATTGTTGATTCCGGCTCTGATAGTTAGAATACAAGGACTGGAGGCCAAAATCAGAGTGGGTAGGTACATGTGGGTGTGCCAACCAGTCAGATATCCTCACACTCCACACTGACCTAAGGGAGAAGCCCATGGACACTACCAAAGGTGAAGTGAAGGAGGTGCAGACAGGGATCCTTAAAGTTTTCTATTATTTCCGTTTTCTATTTTTTTTTTTTTTGAGTTGCTGTCTTTAGATTTGTTAACTGTCAAATACACAATACATTCTACTTTTGCTATATATTTATCCATCCCATGTGCTACAATTTCATTGTTTGTGTACCTTCAGAGAATTACCCTTTAAAATCTCTTCGTGAGTTCCCACAGTTTTCAAGTGGACACTGCAATGCTCTTATCACTGTAATCCACAGTTTTATTCTCCTTTCCAATGAGCCATCTCTTAGCTATCTTGGACTTCTGTCCCAAGAGACAAGGAAACACATTCCTTGAGATTGAAAGAGAGAAACTGGAGTCCTAAGGCTGAAGCGGAAACAAAAAGTAAGGAATTTGTGGTTCCGCTTCTATGAAGTCACTCTCCTCCCCCCTTTCCTGTGAGCCTCTGAGCTCTGATCTGGAGAATGGACAGGAGCCACCAGCATGGTATCAGGCCCACACTATGTAACTACTGTGTAGATTCTGGAAGACCATGGGAGACCCAGGAAGGGAACTGGGAGCTGGGGAAAGTTAGGAGGGACCATGACAACCACAGGGGGGCACTGTGTCCCCATGGGCTCGCCTGGAACGTGTAGGACCAACAAAGCAGAGAGGTCAGCCAAGGACAGCACACCCCTCTCCCTTGCACCCAGAAGACAGCCTCTCTCCCTCTACCTAACTTGGGCTTCTTATGCAGGGACATCTATAGGCAAGAGACATACATGGTCATCACCCATTTCACATACCACCCCCATGGCGAGTACATACACACCCACTCACATTTTACACAGAAATGAGATTTTTTTTTCTTCCTCTTTCAAAGATTACCCTGCTAGCCCTGGCCAGATACGCAGTTGGTTAGAGCAACATCCCAATACACTAAGGTTGCAGGTTTGATTCCCACTCAGATCACATTCAAGAACCCACTAATGCCCAGCCGGTGTCACTCAGTGGTTGAGTATCAAGAAGTCACAGTTTGATTCCCAGTTAAGGCACCTGCCAGGGTTGTGGGCTCAATCCCCAGTTGGAGGAATTCAGGAAGCAGCTTATTTTTAAAAATATTTTATTAATTTTTTACAGAGAGGAAGGGAAAGGGATAGAGAGTTAAAAACATCGATGAGAGAGAAACAACGATCAGCTGCCTCCTGCACGCCCCCCACTGGGGATGTGTTCGCAACCAAGGTACATGCCCTTGACCAGAATCAAACTTGGGACCTTCAGTCTGAAGGCTGATGCTCTATCTACTGAGCCAAACTGGCTAAGGCAGGAAGCAGCTTATTGATGATGTTCCTCATTGGCGTTTCTCTCTCTCTCTATTCCTCTCCCTCTCTCTAAAAATCAATAAAAACGTATTTTTTAAATCAACCAATGAATGCATAAATGGAACAACAAATTGATTTCCTCTCAAAAACCAATGTGGTTTTTTTTTAAATGTGAAAAAATTTTTCTATTTTAAAAAAAAGATAACAGTGTTTGTCTTCGTGTTTTGTTTACCTAGGAGCTAATTATGTCAATGATTCCAATTATGTGGTTTCTTTTCTTTAGTGTGACATTTAAACACCTGCTGCCTGCCCTGTGCGTGGTCACCAAACACCCTCACCCTCCTGATCCTGGCCTACTGCATTTAAAATAGTTCAGTGCTATGAGAGTGATGAAATGCTCAAGCATCAAGAGCATGTTCCATGCCCCACTTCCACGTCAGTGTGTCAGTGCTAGACATCAAGCTGCATTAGTCATCAGGTCTGTTTCACTGAGGAAAGTGTATACTTGTCCATGGGGTTTCTATAAAGTAATCTGGCAAATGACCTTGTACTATTATTCCATCTGCAGTTCTTGGACAATAACACTATAAAGTGCCTTCTCATTTTTACTTCTTGTGCCCCAAGAGCCCAAGGATCAGCCTGCAACAGCCACAAAATATTATACCTGAAGTTCTCTTGATGATGATTGTTCATAATTGTTGAGAAGGTTCTCAAAAAACCACAGGCATAGTCTAATTAACTCCCCAAACTTGGATTTATTTGGAAGGAGGAATTCCTGAGAGGAAATCCTGGTTGCTGTGACTCACCTGAAGGAATCTTCAGATTGGGATCAACTGAGCAACCCAATAACCACTCCAGAAACTGCACAAGGTGTGGTCTGCGGATGGTATTGAATCACCTAAAATGGAATCTAGGTGACCCCCCAGAGGTTCCTGCAGGAAGGTGGTCACAAGGTGTCCTTGAACACTTCAGTTGGCTTTCTGCACTTCCTTAAAATTATGATGTTGGTGACATCTCTGTAATCCCATGGCATTTCTCAACCGACAAGGAAGTCTTCTAAGATCTAAGTAGCCCCTCTCCCAAAATGTGAAGATATTATCAATATCAAGGACAATACCATTGTCCATTCCATTGAATAAGGGCCGGTGACTGTGAAGTCACATTTTGTGAAGTGTGTATGCTATGAAAGCCCCCTCCCATGGTCTATGTCATTTGGAGAAGAGAATGTGAGAGTTGGGCAGGGATGGGGTAGGAAAGGGGCATGATGCAGGCACACTGAGACAGAGTAATAGTGGTGCTCAGATTCCTCTACAGTTTATTGTTACAGCAGAAGTTGTGGGAGACAGGAGAGCACCCTCCACACACGTAACACACTGTGGTCAGAGCCCCAAGGTAGCCCTTCCCAGCCCTATGCCAAGCCCCAAGCAGCCCTGCCCTGGCTTGGTCCCCTCCCTCTCCCACTCTAGACACACACTGTCTAGACAGCTACCAAAGTTAGTGGAGCCAATGCCCCCAGGCCCCTTCCTATTGCCCAGCTCCAATCCTTCCCTCAAATCTGTTCATTGTCTATCACTTCCCAGGCTAATTTCCATTCACACACCAGATGTTTCTATCACATCCTGAGGATCACTAACCTACCAGCAAGCCTCCCTGACACATTCATTTAGGCCCATAGCCTTCAGAGATCTGAAGGTTTAATGAGAAGCCATATCCACTTTGGTGAATGGAGACCCAGCACCAAGTCCCTATCCTTACAATGGGATGAGTAGGGAGAGTCTGGGGCAGGCACCATGGACGTCTACAATGACCACTTATCCCTCATCTATGGACACCTAAATTAAGGAGAGGGGGACGCATGCCCTCTCCACCTTAACAACAGAATGAGGGAGAAGAATCATTTAGGGGTCTGAGTCCCTAAGCGATATTAGGACAGCTCTCCCAGGAGCTGAGGGGTATCACAGGTTAGAGGTCAAAATTAGGGTAGCAATCAAAGATCAAGGTCATCTCCCCACATGATATGCCCATCTTCCCTTGCTCGCTCAGGCCCAGTGTTCTACACACCTCCCAGGTTAGTGCTGGGGGAGGTGAGGCTGGGTCCCACACCAGGACTATAGGGGCCATTCAACAGGAGACCTCCATGGTGTGCCCTGGGGTCCCTGAAGGGAGAGTCCCAGACTCGCTGCTCTGGGACAAGGTTCGAGTGCGGGACCTGCTGCCATCAATGGATGCCGCACTGGTCAGGGAAGCTGTGCGAGATCGGGACAGGCGAGTCATGCAGGATGAAGCCACTGTGGAGACAGAAGGGTAGGCAGGCAGTCAGAGAGGAGGAGGGGAAGAGGGGCTGGCAACTCAGTGCGGGGTGTGAGAGTTACAAATGGGGCCAGGGGTCAATGAGCTTGATTTGGCAGATGGTGGTAAGTCCAGGAATCAGCCTAAATGGTTCCTCCCCTCAGTGGCCATCCCTCATCTTTGCAGCAATCCCTGTCCCCATGATAGCCTCTGACCCCCATACTCACTGTAGCCCATGCCTTGCAGGAAGTACTTGAAGGCCTCGGTCAGCTTGCCTGGCTGAGGAAGTAAGATGAGAAGAGGGAGACAGTGATGTGAGGTTATGAGCTGAGTGGGAGCCCAAGGCCATGGCAGTTTGGGGATGGGATGTGTGGCAACGGGTATATATAGTTCAGTGACATTAATACCCCATTCCTCGGATGGCTGGGGATACTCACCTGAGTCAGCTGGGGCTGACCTCCAGAGTCGGCCATCTATTTGGGAGAGAGCCCCCAGAAAAAAATGATACACTCATGAATA